GAGGGGGAAATGAGGACAAAGAGAGGGAAAATAGGGACTATGAGGGGATTTGGGGGGTTCTGAGAGAGGAAATAGAGCCCTGTGAGGTGGCTGAGGTGACCTGGGAGGGTCCCTGAGAGGTTTGAGGGTGGAATTAATGGAGGTTTAAATGTGGCTAAAGAAGGTCTGGGGGGGACTGAAGGGGGTTTGGGGCAGGGGAAAGGGAATTTGGGGGTTCAAAGCGGCTTCAAGGAGGTTGGAGGGAGATTAAAGGGGTTTGATATCAGTTGAAATTAGGTTTAGAGTAAATTAAAGAGTTTGTGGTGTGTTTTGGGGCATTTTGGGCTGATTTTTTGGGGGCATCGTTGCATTTTGAGCCATTTTTGCTGCATTTGGAGCTGGTTCAGGTGTGGTTTTGTCATGTTTGGGGCTGTTTTCAGTGTGGTTTTGCTGCATCTTGGGCTGTTTTGAGCTGTTTGTTTTTGCTGCATTTTGAGCCAATTTTGTCATGTTTTGGGCTGTTTTCAGTGTGGTTTTGCTGCATTTTGGGCTGGCTTGGGTGTGTTTTGAGCTGGTTTTGTCATGTTTTGGGCTGGTTTTGTCATGTTTCTGTAGCATTTAGGGCTGTTTTCCCTGTGTTTCACCTGCACCAGGTCCCCCGAGGCAGCAGCCAGAGCTCCTCTCTGGCTGAAGCTCAGCTCTGACGCTCCCAGGGGCAGTTGCCATTCCTGCAGGATCTCCAGATTCCTCAGATCCCAAATTTTCACCTTCCTGTCCAACCCTGATGTTGCCATCAACCTGGAGGAGGAGGGAAGAGAGGTGAGGACACCCCCAAAGTGCCAGGGGAGAACCCCCAGATCCACTAAAGACGGAGTAAATCCAGTGGAATCCAGGGAAAATCCTCCTGGGAGGCAGCAAAGGTCATCAGAGAGGCAGAAAGTCCATCAGGAATCATCCAAAATCCATTGGGATCGACCAAAAATTGACCAGGGACTCCTCAAAACCCACCAGGGAAGGCTAAAGTCCATCAGGAAATGCCCCAAATCCATCAGGAGTTATCTAAAATCCACTGGGATGACCTAAAACACATCAGGGACGCCCCAAAATCTATTGGAGATCACGGAAATACCTCAGGGAATGCCCTAAAATTCCATCAGGAGTCATCCAGAAATACACTGGAATGACCCAAAATCCATCAGAGATCCCTAAAATCCATCAGGGACCTCCCGAAATCCCTCCAGGACCACCAGGGACCTCCCCAAACCCCTCAGAGATCCCTCAAATCTGTCAGGAGTCATCCAAAGTGCATCAGAGGTCCAACCAAATCCCTCAGGAACCCCCTAAATCCCTCAGGAACCCCCTAAAATCCCTCAGGGACCTCCCAAAATCCCTGGGGTTCCCCCAAGTTGGGGTTTGGGGGGTTACATTCCCTGCCACTGTGGTCGACGGAGAGGGCTCGGACACAGCCGCGGTGGGCGAGGAGCCGAACCACCGGCTCCGGAACGTTGGGAGTCCACAGGGACACGGTTCCTGGGGGGCAACCAAGGGTTGGAGGGGGTCAGAGCCGGGGAGATCCCAAAATTCCTCCAGGGAGCCCCCCAAAAAAGCCAAGAGGAACCTCAAGGTCCATCAAGGATGGGCAAAATCCATCTGGAATGGCAAAGGATCCAGTGGAAGGGCCTCAAAGGGCATTGGGATCGCCACAAATCCATCAAGGAGCTCCCAAAATCCATCAAAGACCTCCCACATCTCTTGGGATCTCCTGGAACTTCCCAAAATCCGTCAAGAATCCCCCAGGATCCCTCAGGACGCCCTGGGATGGGCAAAATCCATCTGGGATGGCAAAGGATCCAGTGGAAGGGCCTCAAAGGGCATTGGGATTGCCACAAATCCATCAAGGAGCTCCCAAAATCCATCAAAGACCTCCCACATCCTGAATCATCTGTCAGGAATCACCCAAAGTCCATAAAAAATCCAACCAAATCCATCCCAGACCCCTCAAATCCCTCAGGACCCCCCTAAAATCCCTCAGAGACCTCCCAAAATCCCTCCAGGACATCAGGGACCTCCCCAAACCCCTCAGAGATCCCTCAAATCTGTCAGGAATCATCCAAAATCCATCAGAGATCCAACCAAATCCCTCAGGAACCCCCTAAATCCCTCAAGATCCCCCTAAAACCCCTCAGAGACCTCCCCAGACCCCTCAGAGATCCCTCAAATCTGTCAGGAATCATCCAAAATCCATCAGAGATCCAACCAAATCCCTCAGGAACCCCCTAAATCCCTCAAGATCCCCCTAAAACCCCTCAGAGACCTCCCCAGACCCCTCAGAGATCCCTCAAATCTGTCAGGAATCATCCAAAATCCATCAGAGATCCAACCAAATCCCTCAGGAACCCCCTAAATCCCTCAAGATCCCCCTAAAACCCCTCAGAGACCTCCCCAGACCCCTCAGAGATCCCTCAAATCTGTCAGGAATCATCCAAAATCCATCAGAGATCCAACCAAATCCCTCAGGAACCCCCTAAATCCCTCAAGATCCCCCTAAAACCCCTCAGAGACCTCCCCAGACCCCTCAGAGATCCCTCAAATCTGTCAGGAATCATCCAAAATCCATCAGAGATCCAACCAAATCCCTCAGGAACCCCCTAAATCCCTCAGGAACCCCCCCAAATCCCTCAGGATCCCCCTAAAATCCCTCAGAGATCCCTCAAATCCATCAGGAATCATCCAAAATCCATCAGAGATCCAACCAAATCCATCCCAGACCCTCCAAATCCCTCAGGAACCCCCTAAAATCCCTCAGGGACCTCCCAAACCCCTCAGAGATCCCTCAAGTCCGTCAGGAATCATCCAAAATCCATCAGAGATCCAACCAAATCCCTCAGGAACCCCTAAAATCCCTCAGGAACCCCCTAAAATCCCTCAGGAACCCCCCAAAGCCCTGAGGACCCGTGGGATCGCTGCCGCGCTCACCGTTGCTGTGCCCCAGGTGGATGACGGCGTTGGTCGGGTTCTGGGCCATGACAGCCAAGCGACCGCCACGCGTGTTGATGGTGGCCACCTCCTTCCCCACGGAAATGTCCAAGTACTGCAGGAATCCCGACTCGTTCTGCCGGAAAACGAGCGACAAAACGTCCCACCACCGCAGAAAAACCACCCAAATCGACCAAGTTTGAGGAATTCTGACCCAAACTTGAAGGATTCTCACCCAAACTTGAGGGACTTGGACCCAAATTTGAGGGATTCTCACCCAAAGTTGAGGGATCATGACCAAAACTTGAGGGGTGTGGACCCAAATTTGAGGGATTCTGACCAAAACTTGAGGGATTTGGACCCAAACTTGAAGGACTTGGACCCAAATTTGAAGGATTCTCACCCAAAGTTGAGGGATTCTCACCCAAAACTGAGGGACTTGGACCCAAATTTGAGCAATTCTGACCCAAAGCTGAGGGACTTGGACCAAAATTTGAGGAATCCTGACCCAAACCTGACAGACTTAGACCCAAACTTGATGGATTTTGACCTAAACTTGATGGATTTTGAGTGGAATTTGAAGGATTTGGGTGAGATTTAGAATTTTCCGTGGGGAACTCACCGCAGTGACCAAGAGGAAATGGCAAAGGAAGAAGAGGATGAAAACCCATTGAAAATTGGCCAAAATGGACCCAAACTCGATGGATTTTGACCTAAATTTGACGGATTTTGGCCCAAACTTGATGGATTTTGACCTAAATTTGACGGATTTTGGCCCAAACTCGATGGATTTTGGCCCAAACTCGACGGATTTTGAGTGGAATGTGATGGATTTTGGGCAGGATTTGGGATTTTCCGCGGGAACTCACGGCGGCCACGAGCAGGAAGTGGTAGGGCAGGAACTGGAGGCGCAGGACGCGTGGGAAGCTCTTGAGGACGTGGATCTCCAGCCCTTGGCTGTCGTAGACGTGAAGCCAACGGCGCTGGGCGACCGCCAGGAGAGACTCCGTGTGCAGCCAGCTGGGAAAACGGGAAGTTTGGGAGGAAAAACGAGGAATTTAGGGGCGAAAATGAGGATTTTAGGAGAAAAAAATGAGGATTTCAGGGGGAAAAATGAGGATTTTAGGGGGAAAAATGAGGATTTTGGGGGAAAAATGAGGATTTCAGAAAGGAAATGGAGAATTTGGATACGAAAATTGAGATTTGGGGAGAGAATATGAGAATTTTAGGTGGAATAATGAAGATTTTGGGGGGAAAACGGAGTTTGGATGGGAGAATTGGGATTTGAAGAGGGAAAATGAGGATTTTTGGGAGGAAAAATGAGGATTTTAGGAGGAAAACTGAGGATTTCAGGGGAAAATGGAGGGTTTGGATAGGAAAATCGAGATTTGGGGAGGGAAAATGCAGATTTTTAGGTGGAAAAATGAGGATTTTAGGAGGAAAATGAGGATTTCAGAAAGCAAAATGAGGATTTCAGAGGAGAAATGGAGAATTTGGATAGGAAAATTGAGATTTGGGGAGAAAAAATGGGGATTGCAAGAGGTAAAATGAGGGTTTGGGCAGTGTGTTCCCTCCCAGTCCCTCCCAATCCTCTCCCAGTCCCTCCCAGTGCCCCCAGTGCCTCACGCCAGGTCTGTCAGGCTCTCCAGGACGTTGATCTCGCACAGAAGTTTCTTCGTGTGCCATTCCATGGCCACGAGGTGTCCACGGCGACCCCCGAGCGCAAGGTGCCTGCGGAAACTGGGACTCACTGGGAGCACTGGGAGGGACTGGAGGAGATTGGGAGAACACCGGGAGGGAACGGGAACCACTGGGAGGGACTGGAAGGCACTGGGAGGGATGGGAAGTAGACTGGGAGAGCACTGGGAGGGATTGGAAATGGACTAGGAGAGCACTGGGAGGGACCAGGAACCACTGGGAGGGACTGGAAGGCACTGGGAGGGATGGGAAGTAGACTGGGAGAGCACTGGGAGGGATTGGAAATGGACTAGGAGAGCACTGGGAGGGACCAGGAACCACTGGGAGGGACTGGAAATGGACTGGAAGAGCACTGGGAGCCACTGGGACTCACTGAGAGGGATTAGAGGTGTATTGGGAGAGCACTGGAAGGGACTGGGAGCCACTGGGAGGGACCGAGACGGATGGGAAGTGAATTGGGAGAGCACTGGGAGCCACTGGGAGGGACTGGAAATAGACTGGGAGAGCAGTGGGAGGGACTGGGAGCCACTGGAAGGGACTGGGAGGGATGGGAAGTGGATTGGGAGAGCACTGGGAGGGACTGGGAAGGGACTGGGCGGGTTACTGGTCCCTACTGGTTCCCACTCACCTCCCATTCCTGGTGTAGTCCAATCTGTAAGGCCCAAACTGCTCCAGGCGCAGCTCAAAGTGCTGAGGGAAAACACAAATTGGGAATTTTCTGCCCCAAAATTCCCATTTCTTCCCTGAAAATTCCCATTTCCCCTCCCCAATCCCAAATTTCCTCTCCCAAATTCATTTTCCCCAAAAAAATTCCCTTTCTCTCCTCCAAAGTTCCCATTTGCCCCCAAAACTTCCCATTTCTTCCCTGAAAATTCCCATTTCCCCTCCCCAATCCCAAATTTCCTCTCCCAAATTCATTTTCCCCAAAAAAATTCCCTTTCTCTCCTCCAAAGTTCCCATTTGCCCCCAAAACTTCCCATTTCTTCCCTGAAAATTCCCATTTCCCCTCCCCAATCCCAAATTTCCTCTCCCAAATTCATTTTCCCCAAAAAAATTCCCTTTCTCTCCTCCAAAGTTCCCATTTGCCCCCAAAACTTCCCATTTCTTCCCTGAAAATTCCCATTTCCCCTCCCCAATCCCAAATTTCCTCTCCCAAATTCATTTTCCCCAAAAAAATTCCCTTTCTCTCCTCCAAAGTTCCCATTTGCCCCCAAAACTTCCCATTTCTTCCCTGAAAATTCCCATTTCCCCTCCCCAATCCCAAATTTCCTCTCCCAAATTCATTTTCCCCAAAAAAATTCCCTTTCTCTCCTCCAAAGTTCCCATTTGCCCCCAAAACTTCCCATTTCTTCCCTGAAAATTCCCATTTCCCCTCCCAAATTCATTTTCCCCCTTAAATCCCTTTACCCCTAACAAATTCCCTTTCCCCTAAAAAAAAAAATCCCTTTTTCCTCTCCAAAATTCCCATTTTCCCCCCAAAATTCCCATTTTCCCCACTTTGGATGCACTGGCGATGTCGACGGCGTCGGCGATTTCCCTCTGGGAAATGGTCAAGGAATCTTCCCCTGGATCTGCCTCCAGGAACCTGCAGGAAAATTGGGAATTCTGGGGGGCCTGGAGGAAATTTTGGGGGTCCAGGTGGGATTTTGAGGGTCCTAGGGAAGATTTTGGGGGTCCCAGGGTGGATTTGGGGATCTCAGGGAGGATGTGGGGGGGCCCGGGGAGGATTTTGGGGGATCCTGGAGGAAATTTTGGGGGTCCCAGAGGGAACTGGGGTTCCCAGGTGGGATTTGGGGGTCCTGGAGAAAATTTCAG